CTGGGTCCAGTGGAACAGCTGAAGGGACAAAGAAGAGGTTTCAGCACCCCGAATCCTCCGTCCTCCATGAGGATGCTAAAGCCATGCTGGCCACATTATGCACACAGAGTTGGAATCTGGACCTGGGGAAAACTAAAGGCTTACATATCCTTGTCTACTTGAACTTGAGGTCCTATTTCTAATTATAGTGGTCCCAAGACACATGAACAAGTGGAAAGAATATAGAACTGAAAGTTAAAGCTACATGGATTCTCTGCTTAGCCCTATCACAGTAGCCTTGCACGATACATTTTACCTCTCAGATCATTAGCTCCCTCAACTATAACATGAGAGAATTAGACTAGATGAACTCTTAAATTCCCTACAGGGAAACTCTAGAATTGCATAGGCCCTCTCTCTGTCTAAGTTCCATTCTTTTACAAAAATACTTTCTGAAAAGTTAAGATATAGATGGAATTTGGAATTAGAAAATAAATAGAACACCTTAGCTGATGTTAAAAACAATTTAGAGTTTGATATACAAAAATGAAAGAAGAAAAATGTTAAGAGTCTCAGCAAGGTGGAATGAATTAATCATAGTAGACTGGGTCATGAAGAGGGGATCCCCATTAATTGTCTCTAAAATCTCCTGATCATTGAATAGAACAAAAACATTTTGACAAGATTCTTAGGCAATAAGAAAGCATGTTCTTGGGAAGGGGCAAGAAGTATCCATCCCATTTCATACAAAAGGAAACCAACATGCGCAAAGGAAAGATAACTCACTCAGGATCACATTGTGAAGATGAAGTCAGGCCTGACACCAAGTTTTCCTGCCTCCCACCCAATTATGTGTCTGAATTTGTTGGAAACTACCACTGCTTCCAATGAACTTGAGAATGTGGTACCATGGCCCAGGGGAATTGGGTAGGCCCCTGGCCAGCTGGACTTTCATAAGCTCTGCTGAAATCACACTTGCTAAAAATTTCTGTAATGTTGATCACTAGAGAAAGTGACTACATGTACAACCCAGAGAGACTCTAGAAGATTTCCTACGGTCAAAGACACTTCACTGGGCCTTGGTCGAGAAATCTGGTTTCCATTCCTTCATCTATCACTTTAGGATTTTGCACATCAATTTCCTTTAGGAATCAAAAGGCTTATTAGAGAAATTTATAAAGTGTAAACTCATCCTAGATCAATATACATGAAATACTATCAGAAGAATTTTTGTTTGATATTACTAATTATCTAAAGAAATTACTTTTATCTACTTTTTAAATGTGTATGTGTGTATATATATATATACACATTTTTAATATATATTAAAATGGATATAACAGTGTATATACACATATACTATTCTTGTAAAAATTATGTATATATATATGTGTATATATATGTGTGTGTGTGTATATATATATATATATATATACACACACATATATATCTCCTTCAATCTAGCTGGGAAATCTGTTTCAAAATCAACTCCTGCTCTTTCCTCGGACTTGATATACAGCCAAGCGAGTCATTCTCGATTAACACAGCTCCCTCCTGGGAAAAGTCACAGAGTGACTTTATTGATTTCCCTTTACCCTTCTCCACATTTCTTTGCTGAAATGTTGTCTTAACTCTTAAATTTAAAAGCAAAAGTAAATAAAATTAATATAAAATTTGCTTCATTATGACCATGTTGATTTTCTTATATTTTTCTTATTTTCTAAAAAAATTTTTTTGAAGAACAGGATACTTGTGTGAGGTATCTATGTAGTAAAGAAAAGAGAGGATGATATGTTTCCCAAGGTTTTTATGCAACAGATTTCTTTAAATTGAAACCTGGGTTTTACACACAATGCTGGACTCGGAGCTCCATAAACCTGTTCTTCTCCTCATTCTCTTTTGACTTGGCCAGCCATCTTTGAAAACTGCCAAGAGTTTTTGGCAAACAGTCCCTCCAATGTTTCCAGGAGCATACCCAATACATAGGAATATAGAGAATGTTTATTTCTCATCACATTTTCCTACCTCAAAAGATCCCAACAAGATTAAGTTTCCTAAATGCAGGAAACTCTTTATTTATAAAGGTTTCAGGATCACTGATGCAATTTAGGAGTTTCTCTGATGCAGTTCTAGAAAGGTAAAAAGGAGTTTCTCCAAGCAGTCTTTCTGCCTCCACCTTTTAAGATCACTGGAAAGTTAACCCAGAGCCTCACTCTTAGTCTCCTTTCAGCTTCTGAGCTGCCCGGTGCCCTGGGTTCTGACTGTGGGGCAGGGGTAGTGGAAAGAAGCAGAGAACAGGGACACTGGAGTGGCTTAAATTAAAAGCTCTAAAAATGCCTTTTTCATTTTCTTCTCCCCCCGCCACCCCCACAGTTTTAGCTCTACTTACTCCAATAACTGAGTTCATGAAAGACTAGTTTTCAGTTCTCTTTTTTTAGCATCCACAGCTTTTCCTGTAAAGGGAAGGAAAGGATTGACTTATTTACAACACAATCACAATCTGATTCTTCACTTTAAGCAAATAAAGACACCTAGTGAAATAATGGATTGTGTTATTTAAAATTGAAAGCTTGTGTGAATGAACCACCACTCAGAAACAAGCTTAAGAAAAGTAGAGAAAGAAAATGAAAGCCTTGTGACTAAACAAGGTTAAAATGATGCACGATGCTGAGTGTACAACTTAGTAGAGTGATTATTAACAATATGAAAAATATCTACTTCCAATGTATAAATGAAATACACTCAAAACAACAAACGGTCAGTGATATGCTATGCTGCCCTGAAGGTTAATCACAGGGCTTTTTTTGGGGGGGGGCAAAACATCTAGTTTTTTCCCCCATGAATTTGCAAAGTTAGTTTTAATTAAATGCCATTTTACTTTGCACTAGCCAGCTTATCTTCTTTTCATTTTCTTGTTTCTCTGCACAATTTGAATCAAAGACAGTGATTTGGAAGCACTATGGGTAAAGTGGGTAGAAAAGCATGCTAAGAATTGGGTCATCTTGTTGAAATAAAGTTCACTTCTGTGTTGTACAACATGAAGAATGGGGAAAATTTGTCCTAATATCTTGCTGTATCTGTCCCAACTCATTCCTTTCGTAGGGCCTCAGCAGGGGAATTATGTAGCAATGCAATTCCTATCCTGGTTAGATAGGAAAGCTCTAGAGTACATTTCCAAGAACAGACCCCTCATGGCAGAGGAGCCAAGATTTTACCTTGTAAGAGGAAACACCGTTTCCTTAGGCAGTATAGGCTCTTTATTGAATCTGGCCACAATGCTCCAGGTGCAGGCAAGAGAGTGCCTTCTGCCTCTGGATAAATGGAACTACCAGAAGCTTGTCCTATCCAAGTGGTGCAGAGGACACTCTCAGCTTCTAGAATCGAATAGAAAGGTCTTTCCTGGCCTCCAACAATACCCGGATGGAACACAACAAATTCACCACATTTGAAACTATGTAGAAAAGTTCAGACTCTAACATCCATCCATCCATTCATTCACTCCATTCATTCAGCTGGTTTTTATAAGGCAGTTCTTATATGGACTATGCTTTGCCTAAGTACAGTGTTAGGTAGAAAGAAAAAAGTGGTTCTATTCCGCCCTGTTCTTCCCAATCCTACTATTCATGATTTCAAGTGGCTACTCAAAAATCCTTAACTGAAAATAGCTTACAAAAGGTCACGTATTTAATTCCATCCTCTTCTGTCTTACCTCCATGTAGAATACCATTTGATGCAGGTTTACATGAATAAACATTATTAATTAATGTTAAGTCTCAGCAATGTCCTCCTCTCAAGTTTGATGCTCAGACCACAAAAAAGCTGTATCTCCTACCTAAAAGTGAGAAAGATCCCCATGTTGATTTTTGTCAAGGATGCCTTTTAGATTTTTTCCCCTAATGTGAACAGCCTTGATAGGACCTGTTTCATTTCTTGGTCAGCAAGAATCTAGTAGCCGTGGATGCCTTAGGGAGTCATTCCAACCGAGACTAGAATTTCAAGGGAGAGGGTTGAGTTCCTTCTTCTGGTGCTTCTAATACAGGAACGTATCACCCTCACCATGGCAGACCACAGGGAATGATCAGTGTGAATTGTTAAGTTGTCTTCTCAATGATGTGTTACAAATAATTTCCCTGAAGAAGTAGCAAGTTCCTGACCACAGTATTGTACGCAAATAAACAAGTGCTAGTAATTTTTGTTTTTCACATTGAGAAGACCTCAGAAACATCTCATTTCAATTAATAGACTAGAATCATAGAAAACTTGCCTTACCTTCCGGGTTCTTTGGCTAAGATGTATTGGTAAAATGGTGCGTTAAACACATTTTTAACTGGGAAAAGCCTGGTTATCATAGGCAACCCAGATTAGGGGATTTACAGAGTACTATTGTGTTGAGAGAAAAAGGAGACCTAACGAAGAAACATCTTACTTAGCAGCATCAGAGAAGCTATATGATTGATCTGGTGTTTCACCTATCTTGTATCAAGGCATAGGGAGAAAGAATGTGCCTTGCACAAATTAGCCCACAGACCTTTCTAAAAAGGACCAATACGAAACACACAAAAAGGTAAGATCATCTATAAGGAAAGATCCTCTCCTTTCACACCAAGCCATGGAGATTGCTTGGGTTATTGTGGCCTTGGCCTCTTAATTTCCTTTATGCCATTTGAGTGGGAACTCAGGACCCAATGATACCCCCAATTATCCACATTCAGAATGGTAGCATCTGCTATCATCTAAATAATGCTAGGGTTGTAGAGTAAAGGTCGATGAAGACTAGTGAGAAGACACAGGGAGTTCTGCAGCATACTTTGAGATAAGTCTGTTTTGGATCCTCTATGTGATTTCTGTATATTTTATGCAATAGGCAGAACAAGTTTTCAGGGAATACTTTGGACTTTTCCTAAATTTACAGTTATTCCAACACTCAATTAGGAGGACTACAGAATATTCTACTGTAGCAAAGTTTAAAGGTAAATAAAGGAAAATTCATCAGGAGCCTTATAGAAAACTGAATGGGCAAAAGTATGATTGAAACAAGGAACATGGATAATGGGATCCTTCACACTTAAATCTGTTGCTTAATAACTCTGTGGACTTGGGCAAAGTAATTAACTTTTCTGAGCTTCAGATTCCTGATCTGTAAAATGGGATAATAATATCTTTCATGCCTAACTATTTTAAGGTTAAGTGAGATAAGGAATATAAATTGTTTATCATGATGCTGGCACACAGTAAGTACTCAATATAGTTATTTCCCTTATTCCTCTCCCTTTGTTGATACATGTTTTCCAGATTTCCACTTAACCTCTCTTCTCTGAGTTCATAGAATACTTTTTTTTCTGTACTATTCAGCAAATCTATTCAAGTTAATAGCTTTTTTTTTTTTTTTTTTGAGGAAGATTAGCCCTGAGCTAACTACTACCAATCCTCCTCTTTTTTTGCTGAGGAAGACTGGCCCTGAGCTAACATCCATGTCCATCTTCCTCTACTTTATATGTGGGACGCCTACCACAGCATGGCTTTTGCCTAGCAGTGCCATGTCCGCACCCGGGATCCAAACCGGCGAATCCCAGGCTGCCGAGAAGCAGAACATGCAAACTTAACCACTGTGCCACTGGACTGGCCCCCAATTTAATAGTTTTAAAAATTATTCTAAACATAAGAAATAGAAGGAATGTCAACATCGAATTTTACTTGCCATTTTTGCAAAACATGCTCATCATCTACTGAGGAAGTTAGAAACGTCCCTGTGTAAACATCCCATTGTCTATAAATTAGACAGTGATAAGTGGAATAACTTGATTATTTAAACATTTTGGGTTGGGGGGTATCTATTATGTGCCAAGTACCATATAAGGTGGCAGAAACTCAAACGTATATAGGATGCAATCATGGAACTTCAGGGCCCTTAATTTGGTATAGGAAGAGACAAATGGACAAACAACTTCAAAGTCAGTTGGAAAGTACAGATGGTACTAGATAAAATAGTGGCACAAAAAGATGAGACTTCACTTCTCTTGGAGGTGTCAGGGAAGGTTTCAAGAGGAAAAGATATCTAGACTAGATATATAAAAATAAGTAGGTCAGAACTTAGGTAAAATGGACAAAGTCCTTGAAAAGTACAACTTACTAAAACTGACACAGATGAAACAGAAAATTTAAATAGCCTTATATCTATTAGAACAATTAAATGCATTATTTAAACCTTCCCACAGAGAAAATTCCAGGTCCAAATGGTATCATTGGTGATTCCTATCAAATATTTAAGTAAGAAATAACACTAATCTTATAAAATTCTTCCAGAAAATAGAGGAAGAAGGAACACTTCCAAATTCATTTTTTTAAATCAAAACTGGACAAATAAATTACAAGGAAATTACAGACCAGTATCCTTCATGAACATAGATGCAAAAATCCTTAACAAAATTTTAATAAATCTAACAACATATAAAAATACATCAGTACCAATTAGAATTTATTCCAGGAATGTAAGATTGTTTTTATATGTAAAAATCAATTAATGTACTTCGCCTAATTAATAGGATAAATAGAAAAAAAGAATATCATTATTTCAATAGATACAGAAAAATTATTTGATAAAATTCAACGCATATGTATCATTTTTAAAAAACAATCTCTCAGTATATTAGGAATAGAGAGGAACTTTCTCAATCTGATAAAGGGCATTCTATAAAAAACCTATTGTTAACATCATCCTTAATGATTAACTATAAAATTATTTCCTGCTAAGATTGGGAACAAGGCAAAGATGCCTGCTCTTATGACTTCCAGTCAATATTTCACTGGAAATCCTAGCCATTGTAATAAAGCAAGAAAAATAAAAGGCTTAGATAGAAAAAGAAGTAAAATTACCTCTATTTGTAAGTAGCATGCTTGTTTATGTAGAAAATTCTATTAAAGATCTACGTAACAATGACCAGAACTAACAACTGCACTTAGTAAAATCACAAGATCAAGATTAATACAGAAGAGTCAATTATGCTTTTATATGCTAGCAGCAAATCATTGGAAATTAAAATTTAAAATCCATTTATAATAGCATCATAAAACATAAAATAGGAATGTATTTTTTTAAATATGCATATAATGAATAGAATTGTGGCTCCCAAAAGATATGTCTACCCGGAACCTCAAAATATGAACTTCTTAGGAAAAAAGGTCTTGGCAGATTAAGATTAGTGAAGGTAAAGATCTCAAGAAGAGATCATCCTGGATTAGGCTGGTCTCTAAGTCCAATGGCAGTGTCCTTAGAAGGGACAGAAAAGGAGATGAAACTAAGACATAGAAAGCCAAGTGAAGACAGAGGCAGAGAGACTGGCCAAGGAATGCCAAGGATTGCTGGCAGACACCAGAAGCTAGGCATGAAATGGATTCTCCCTGAAAGCATCCAGAAGGAACCAACTTGCTAATACTTCGATTTTGGACTTTTGGCCCCTGAACTGTGAGAATAAATTTCTGTGTTTTGAACCAACCAGTTTGTGGTAATTTATTACAGTAGCCCTAAGAAGCTAATACAATGTTTAAGACCTTTAGAGTGAAAATGGCAAAATATTGCTGGAAGAAGTTAAAGACCTAAAGAAGTGCAGAGATATACCAGGTTCTTAGATTGGAAGTCTCCAATATCATTAAGATGTCAATTCTACCAAACTGAGCTATAGAGTCAAAGCAATCTTACAATCAAAATTTCAGCAGGATTTTTTTTGTGTGCAGAAATGGACAGGTTAATTCTAAAATTTACATAGAAATACAAAGGCTCTAGAATTTTCAAAGTAATTATAAAAAGATGGAGGTTTTATACTACTTTATTTCAAGATTGACTACAGAGGTATAATAAAGACAGGCTAGGAGGATAGGCTAGACATGCAGATCAATGGAATAGAATAGAGTCCAAAAGTAGACCCACACTTACAAGGTCAATTGATGTTTTGACAATTGACTTATATGGTCAATTGATGTTTTTGACAAAAGTGCCAAGGCAACTCAATGAAGGAAAAAGTCATTCTAACAAATGGTGTTAGAAAGACATAACTGTATAGAAAGAATGAACATTGACCCTTATTTCATAGCATATGTAAAAGTTAACTAGAAGTAAACAATAAACTTTAATGCAAAAGCTAAAACTACAAATCTTCTAGATGAAGACATAGCAGTAAATCTTCGAAACTTTTGTGGTAGGCAAAGAGAACAAAGATGAGACACAAAAACAAAGAACTGTAAGAGAAAAAATTCAACAAGTTGGGCTTGATCAAAATGTAAAAATTTGCTATTTGAAAGACACTGTTAAGAAAATAAAAATACACACCACAGACTGAGAGAAAATATTTCTAACACACATAATATGACTGATTGGTATCTACTATATATAACGATATCTTATAACCAATAATAATGACAGCCTAATAAAAAGATAAAAATTTAAACAAACGCTTCACAAAAGAAGATATACGAATGGCCAATAAGCACATGAAAACATGCTCCAAGTCATTAGTCATCAGGGGAATGCAAACTAAAGTCACAATGAGATACTACTACACACCCATTAGAATGGCTAAATTTAAAAGACTAACGATGACAGGTTTTTTTGACAAGAATAGGGAGAAACCGGAACCCACATATGTTCTTAGTGGGAATGTACAATGGTGAACCACTGTGGACAACTGGCAGTTCCTTAAAAGTTAAATATACATCTACCATATGACCCAGCAATTCTACTTTTGGGATTTACCAAAGAGAAATGAAAATGTACATCCACACAAAGACCTGTACACTAGTGTTCATAGCAGCTTTGCTCACCATAGCCAAAAACTGTAA